GTTTAAGTTAAAGTTTTTGTTGTAAGCCACATTTTCTTAGTTAACCGCCACCATTTAGCTGGATAAGTTCCGTAAGTGTGAATCATGGACGTAATGAGTTTTATTGAGTGTCCAACTCTAGAAGTTTTAGACAGGTTTTGTCGCGTAGAGTTGTTGCGTCTAGTTGAGGAGCTAGGACTAGAGGTTGATGTCTCGGATAGAGATAGAGTTCTACGAGATCATATTTGTGTTGAGTTGGTAAATACAGGTAGATTAGAGGAGGAGTGTCTAGACTCTATAGAATATTATGAGATAGGACGTATTAGGGTTGAAGAAATTGAGAGGAAGTATCAAGCTAAGTTGTTAGAGATCACGAGAGAAAAAGAGGATAAGTTGTTAGAGATCAGGAGGGATATATTCATGTTAGAATCTTGGAAGGAAATTAACATTAAAAGTTTAGAGAAACTGTTCGGACATGAAGTTAAACTATTAGAGATCAGGAGGGAACGGGATTTACTTAGGCTATGGGAGGAGGCACAGCTTAGTGGGTTGTTTGACTTTCCAGAATCTGTCTCTGTTTTCTCTCAGGCTAGTGTAGTAGTTTCCGAGGATCGGTATAGAGATGAAGATAGTTTGTTGTCTGATAGAGTTGGTAGTGAGTTATGTCAGTCTCAGACTAAGGCTGCCACTAGCTTTGGCTCAGTCCCTGAAGTCGACTCTAACCTAGCAGAACCAGCACAAACGTCAAAACGTGCTGATAGCTTACGAGTTGAGAGTTGTGTGCCGACAAGTGCTGAAGGCAGTCAGCAAGTTATTGGTTTAGATAAAATCACGGCGACCACTCTAATGTTGACCAGTCATGAAAAGGGGCTGTCAATATCAGAACCAGTGGTTACAACCACCGCTGAAATCACGGTAACCACCGAGAGAGTGAATACCCATGAGAACAGGCTGTCCTCGTCTGAACCTGAACCAGTAACTGCATCTGATCAAGACCTTACTACTTGTCATCTTGAAGGCGTCATGACCTTAACTGGAGGTCACGTGGATGGTGTTCTACATCCAGAGATCGAAGAGTCGGTGAATCTTTTGTCAGCGGTGACGAGCAAAGTCGTTACCTTTTGTTTAGGAAATGAGCCTAAATCAGGCTTCCCTCCCCTTATCTCGGAGGTGATTTATTGTTCTATGACCGACCCGGTCAAGACCAGCAACCTGGAGGCCATGACCTCACCTGGAGGTCACGCGGATGGTGTTCTACATCCCGAGTTTGAGGAGACGACGAATCTTTTGTCAACGTCGGTGACAAGCGTAGTTGTTACCTCTTGTTTAGGAGTTGAGCCTAACTCAGGCTTCCCTCCCCTTATCACGGAGGTGATTTATTGTTCTCTGACCGACCCGGTCAAAACCAACAACCCGGAGACGGTGACCTCAGCGGGTCACGCTACTTCTCTCAACCGAGGGTGCGTACAAGCGAGCGCACACCCCATTGCTTTCACGGAGACGGGGCGTGTACTCGTTCCCTCTTTGTATGACACGGTGTTCAGGATTAACATCGTGTCAAAACATGGCACTAGTGCAAGCAGTCCTGTGAAACCACGCCTCATGTGCGAGTTGTTGTTGTTGTGGACGGACAATAACTCTGTCACTAAAATTGTGCTGCGCCGGTATAAAGTTCGGCTAAAGTTTTATGTTTACGGACTCATGATGACCCGAAAGACGGAAAACTAATTTGTGTTTCAAACCTATTAGAACTGTTTCCAAGATAGACTGTTTCATGTTTTCCCAGGATGCAAGTGTTCTAATCAAAATGAACTGTTTTCAGGCTTAAAGAATGTACACTTTTACATGTCTTGTTTGAAAAAAAAATGTGTTATTGATGTTTTACATGCTGTTGAATTCGTGACACTTTTTAATTGTATTGACAAGTTTTGTTGACTGATGACGTAACTATCAATAAAACGAAGACTGTTGGTTTTCAATCTTAGCATTATTTGCGACAGTGACACATGTGTTGCAGATTTGCTGTTTTATTTACTTTGATGTCTATGTTTGATGACACTGTGGTTGGTGTATTTAGTCAAACTTGTTATTGTGACTAAATCATTCACGTTTCTTATCTTTTTAGTAATGATTATGTTAAATGGATTTAGTCCCATTTAGGTTTATTCTGGGACTTTTGAGGACTTGTGAGATTGGGATGGTTGTCTAGTAAGAGATGTTCAATTAATTCACCATGTGGTGGCGAATTAATTTCTTGAAGGGTGGGGGTGTTACGAACCCAAGTGATTTTTACCTGGGTTTGGTCCCATCGAGGAGGGCCAGGTAATTAAAATGAAATGCTTAGGCATGTTAATGCACTGGCCAGCATAGGCCGTGAGAACCTTTGGGCCGTGACGGCCACACCGGATTGGTTACCACGCTGTGGGCGGTGCATACCTGGTGTCTTGGGGTCCGAGCTATTAACGTGGCCAAGAACTCGTGATTTACGGCTGGGAAAACCTTCCAGATCGCACAGGGCCGAGATGGACGGTCATGTCCTGACCTGACCCGACATGGGGGTCAGGCTCGATTAACAAGGTTCCCACACTAGCGGGGGACGACTTGAGTACTTTAGGAGGGTAGACCGGAGACTAGGGACACTCACACTCTCGACAGACACTCGGGACACACACACGGAGACGGACGGACGTCTCGGATAGCTAGGTTTAGAGGAGACAGACATGGGGTCGTCTCTGTGAGCTAGTGGAAAGCCACGACATGTTTTAGACTTAGGCTAGGCTAGACGGTTAGGGACAAGTAGGGTAGTCGTACTAAGTACTTTAGTTGTAGATAGTTGTGTATTTTTCCTATTGTGTTCCATGTGGTGGCGGGTTAATGTTAGATGTTGTATTTTGTGGCGAATAAATAGAGATTACTGAAGTTGGCATTTATTTATTTTTATTTTTCTTCTTCTTGTTTACGATCCCCTGACTAGTTCGAAAGGATTAGAGAAGGGGGTACGTAACAATATATATATATATATATATATATATGTGTGTGTCAGCGTCGGCTTACATGGGTTTATAATTTAAATATGTCACATACGTATATGTATACGCTATGTGTCTATGTATGTATGTATGTATATATATATATATATATATATATATATATATATATATATATATATATATATATATATATATATATATATATATATATATACTTGGGGGGCGGGTGACACCACGAAGTGCCGCACCGGGTGACACCCAACCTAGCGACGCCACTGGGCCTGGGCAGCTTTGCGATGCTGTTTCACATCAAGGTAACTGAAGGGCTCATCAAACAAAAAGCTGTAACATTGTTTGAGATCGTTATGTTTCCAGTAAGAAAAGAGCAGATTTTTCTTCCGTTTGTTTATCGATGCGAAGAACGAACAGCTTTTTACTTGGTAGGTTTTGTTGGCGCGGATTTCATGATTTTGTCATAAGTTTAGTCAGATGTTCTGTACTTTTCTAATTTTGTTAATATTTGTTTTTAAACGCTAAGCCCCCCCCCCCCCAAAAAAAAAGGGGACAAAAAATCTCTTTATTCTAACGTGGCGGAATGTTTAATGCTATAAATGTAACGCCCATAATTTCCATGCTCTTTATAATATAAAGAAGATTAAGAAAATTAAAATAGATATTACCCTTTGTCTCATATCAAAGAATGATATAAGTTGATTTACCAACCAATCCGAAGCGAAGCTAACTTACATTTATGGTGGACACGTCATGCATCCACGAAATGACTTTAACAACGCACGTGTTCTCGTCAAATGGATACTTAGATACATCCACCTGGATACATAAACATATTACACTTTGAAAACTTTTCACATTCAGCTTTTAATTATATAATTAGCATTTATCAGCAAATTTGATTAATAAAAATAATAATTATGAAATTATTTCCAACTTGCCGTACACACTTTAAAAAGCTACTATACAGGTACAGTGGTCTCAAGCAAACATAAATACATAACTATATGAACAGCAAGAAAATATAATAGTATACAAGACAACCCGTTCTATCAAATGGATAACATTCTGACGGTAGAAAAGCACGAACATGAGCGTAAAAAGCAGGATTTTCATAAAGCTTTTTGATCCCGATGGCAAATTTTTGCTCTTCGATCGACCCCTGGAGAGTTTGCAACATAGGGATTATCCCAAACGTTTGAGATCCATTGACGGAAATTTCACGCAAATTAGTCGTTCAGTGTATTCTACACAGCCCCAATAACAGATCATATGACTAATATATTTACTAAAAATAGAAATGTATAGATAGAAACATCAAGGCTGATACAGACACCCCCCCCCCAAACTTGGCACAATGAATAGACCCGGTTTGTATACATTATACTGAAAGATATACATACAGCACAAGAAACTTCAAGATTTATGGGTGGCTCCCAAAGCACTCTGCCCTTATGGTTGATAGCTACATTTATATTATTTTCCCCAAGGTAAGAATCGTGGATGCTGAAAGAAAAATGAGCATCAGTGGGCAGGTTATAGATGGTGTCTTAAAGGAGTGAGAAAAGTTGCGTGGGGCGGGTTTTTAAAATAAATAAATATACAGTTATAAATATGATTTTGTTGTTGGTAGATTTTCTACATACTTGCACTTTTAAAAGTTTAATTTTTGAATTGATTGAGTTTTGCTGTTGCTTTTTGGGCTGTCATATTTCACGCAAATATCTTTTACGCAGCTTCTGAAAACCTATTGTCCAAAGCTGTCGTTGTTCTCGGTCGCCGCCTCGTTATTTCATTCATCAAAAATAACTTCTGTTTCTGCTTGTCCCCAAAACGATTTTATACTTAATTAAATATCCTATCGAATAAAGTTTCAAGTCCATACAAACAACTACTTTAAATAATTAGCTGCCAGATTAATAATTTTTTTTACTTATTATATATAGATTGCAATATCAAGCTCCTATACATTAAATTTAGCTTACTTATTGTAGATGGTAATATCAGGTTTCCACACTTGTCGTTGAGGCGCAATGATGTCTTCAATTCCGCCATACTTTGATGTGTTCCAAACCAACAATTCATCTTTCCATTTCTTGTAAATATTCATAGTATGAAATATATATTAATATGTGTATACGTAAAAAAAAAGTTGAGGTTGGTAAAAGACAATCCTAGCAAAATGATACATAGTGAATACGGACCGGTGTGTTCACAATATACATTCCTACAATACTGCGCACAAACACACATACAAACAACTGATATACATATGCAAGTTAACAACTATCATCTAAATCATTTACTTACAAAAGACATAAAACCGCTGAATTTTAACACCTGTTTCTTGATATCCTGTGAGAAAAACAAATGACCTCAAGGACAAAAGATATCAAAAGTAAAGCGGTAATGATCCAGTGGCGGAACTAAAAAAAAATGGCCACCCCGCAAATTTTTTTTTAGCCCCCCCCCACCTATATATATATATATATATATATATATATATATATATATATATATATATATATATATATATATATATATATATATATATATATATACAAACACAAAATACGACCAGAGCATGGGATACTCATTGCTGGCCTGTTCGGGTTTTGAATAAAAATGGGTTCTTTTTCCAATTAAAACAAATTACTACATCATGTCATGTGAGTAAGTGCTTTAGTGTGTTTTGAGTAAATCAGTTTAATCCTATCTGCTATGGGTTCTAAAATCCATTCGGCCAAAAGAATATAAAACATGAAATCTTTGTAGAAGTAATGGTGTCTCGTGTTATGATTATTTTTATGTTTTTTTTTTGTATTTATATTATTAATTTTAAATACATTTCCTTTTTATAAAAGTTCATTCTTTAGTAAATACTATATGAAAAAATATTAAGTAAGAGATGTAATTTCTTTTTAATTTTTTTAGTACAAATCTATTAAAAGGAGCTTATGAGCACCCCAATTTGACTATTTAAAAAAGGGAAATAAGTCATGGAATTGGAAAAAGAATATACAAGAGCGTGGGGATGGTGTCTATAGAATAAAGATAATCTAACCGCAGCTATGGTAATCGTTTTACAAAACAAACATCAAGTCAAAAATTGCAAGAAAATTAGATTTTTTTAACTATAATAAAAACTATTAGGGTCGGCCGTGGGCCCCTAAATGGCGTGGGCCCCCTTCATTGCGGGGTCTGGCGGCACTGTAGTTCCGCCCCTGTAATGATCTCTCCTAAACTTTCATGTATATTCATTATCTATATATATAATTCTCTTCTGGGAGCCGCTAGAAAACAAGCTGCAAACGCGCCAAGAAAACAAGCTGTAAACGCGCTCCCTACCTCCCCACCCCTACATGGTTTTAGTGAGCTGTGTTCACTCTAAATGTTTACAAGCAGAGCCAACGATTTTAAACGTAGGGGGGGGGGGAGGGGGAAAGGAAGGGAGGGGGGTTATGGTCCTTAACGAGCTACTTATAGTGTTTTAAAGAAATATTTTCAGTGGCAGCGTTGGTACTGTCGAATTCACAAATTTTGAATTACTGAAAAGTAGAAAAAACAACAACTAAATAGCGGCGTATGATACGCCGCGGGCCGGCTCGTTTTGAATAATATGCAGAAGATGGTCGAGTTGGTAAAGCTCATGTTTGCTGAACCGAAAAGTCTCGAGTTTAAACCCTCGGTTATATAAGCCCGGTCAGTAAGAAAAGCAGTCAACGGCCTACAAGCGCTTAACAAATTGACACATAATACTTCCAGCAAAATTTAAGAACAAATAAGGTTTTAATTTTTTTTTTCACTTTTTAGTAATTAGTTCTAAAAGAAGTTGACACTAAATCTATATAGGCTTTGACTGAAATATTTTACTACTTTACAATCTCTAAAAGACAGCGGTGTGTCCCCTCTTGGAAATCAACAGCGATCTCTAGTGTTTAATCTTGTAATCTAACCTTTTGTCATTGAATATAGTTAAAACCCAAATAGTAGATAGCGATCTCTAAATGATAGTTGTCTGCCCCTTCTACGTGATCGACAATATATATATATATATATATATATATATATATATATATATATATATATATATATATATATATATATATATTTATTAATTTATTTATGACATTTGTATGATACGTGTTTGAGAATGGACGACTATGTAAGTTGATGGTCAATGTGATTATATGTGTTTGAGATGGGACCAGAGTTTCTTCCAGGCATCTCTTCGGGGGGGGGGGGGGCTTAGACCCCCCCGAAATTTTTTTACCGCCCCCCCCCCCGAACGAAATGAAATTTATATAATTTATAAAGAAAATATATACTTTTAACAGTGTCCGCCCCCCCCCGAAGAAAGTCTACCGCCGCCCCCCCCCCCCCCCCCGAAAATGTCAAGTGCCCCCCGGAAGAAAAAAGTCTGGAAGAAACACTGGATGGGACCTCTATTTAGGGTGAATGTCAGTTTGGTGAAATTTGTTTGAGGTGTTTGAAGTAGGATGCCAATTGAATGAGTAAGAAGTTGGTTCGTTATCGATGTAAAATATACTAATAGTAAGTCAATGAAAAGAGGAGGTCGACGCCATTATTTTCAAGAAGTTTAAATGAAGAGGTTAAAGTTTATAGAATATATGATAAATAGAGTCGGCGAGGTATGGTCAATTAAAAGTGTTTGATATTTTACATAAGATTATACCTGGAAATGACGTCGATAGAAATATTTCATGTGTGTGTGTGTGTGTGTGTGTGTTCAATAATAGATGCACAATTCGTAATAAAAAGAACAGCTAATCGTGAGATTACCAGATCAAGGATCATAGCCAGGTACATTGTCACTTGCACCTTAACACTTTCACCGTGGTTCAAGATGGGGCGGATTTCTGGGTCGTATACGTCAAAGAGGTCGTTGTGCAGCTTCGTCATTGTATGTGCGCTGGCTGTAGCTGTTGTAAATAGACTCCTCATTTGGATTAGGCATATCTTTACAGTAATGGATCCCTCATCACCCCCGGAAGAGGTCTCGCAGGTTCCAGTAAATATTTTAAAAATCGTAAGCGATGTTATTAAAATAGATCTAATTGTGGTTGTAAAAACTTGATTGTGCGGTTATTGTCGGACTTTACTAAAGATGAATGTTTTAAGAATGTTTAATTAAGCAGAATAAAATGAAAGCCAAAAGTCAAAAGTTTTTTTTTCAGATTTCCTTATTGAACATGTCTATAAACATAGCGTAGCGAAGTGGTCTTAAAATAAATAATTATCCACCTGCAAAGTTTTCAATATCAAGAACTACGAAGTAGAATTTTCAGAAATGTCTTTCTTATCAGCCAATCAAAGTTTGCCATACAAAAGTGAACCTTCAAGTAAAACGACTTGGTTTAATAGAAATGTTGCCTTAAACCCTAAATACTGTTTTCGAGTAGACTGCATTTGCAACTTATATGAAATAAATCTTTATTTTTAAAATATTGAATATCTGAATTTTTTTTGAAGATAACATTTTTTATAGCTATTTCTAGAACTGCGATGAGGGCCAAATAAAAAAAAAACTTGTTTAAAAAAAGTTAATCTTTTTTAATCGTTGAGTTCATCCATTTTAAGCGTTAAGTTCATCCTTTTTAATCGTTGAGTTCATTTTTGTAATAAACAAGTTAGAACTATTAGTAAGGCGGGAAATAAAAGTGTTCTATTGTAAGCATGAATGGGAGTAAATGTTTAGTTTGTGGATGATGTTTTGTAACGACAACACTCATTGGGTGAAAGCATTGCCACCGATTATAATCCTGCAGCTATGAAAAAAAAATTACGAAGTAAATTCTCAACCATTATATTTTAACAATAATCATAAGTCTAAATATTTAGGTAGAATAAATGAACACTTTAGGACAAAAACTTAACTCTAATAATGTCAAATCAATGGTTCATGTAGGCCTATCGTTAACGAAGATTTAGATTCCAGATCTAGATCTAGATGACTAGATCTAGATCTAGATCTAAATAGACTATCTTGCAGTATGGATGGAAGAAAATTAAGCCGGATGGCCTATTTGCAGTAACATGCAAATCTTATATAAGAAAATTTTCATAGTTATTCAAACTTGACTTGCCTTTTTCAAGAAGGTCTTGAAATAATAACAAAGAAAACCAGAATTTCCATAAGAACATTCTTTACAACAAGAAAGTCATTCAATTATCAAATGACTGAATTTAAAGTAAATACAACACCAAATTTGGGTGTAAAACGGTGCGAACTTTTGCGCACTTTAGCGTCAAGATAAAACCTAAATTCGTGCATGTTTGGAATACACCGTTAGCCTTATACTTTACTAGCTGCATACCCGTGCTCCACACCGGTAAATTTTTTTTAAATGTACCAACTTGGGAACAGAACAAAACTAAACACAACAAAAACACAATATAAATAGAAAACACAAACACAACACAAACACTAATGAAAACACCAAAACAATGCAAACACAAACGCAAAAAAAACAACGAAAAACAAACACAAACTCATAACAAAAACACAATTTAAATGCAAACATAAACTCATAGTGCTTACAGTTTAGCCCGTGGCGCCTAATTGCACCCAGTCCAAACGCCGGTCGACGCGCCTGATTCAGTGAATGACAATAAAACCCCCAGCTTGTCCGCAAACGGAAAGTTGGATTAATAATTAGTAAACAGTACGTTCAGTGTATAAAATAAATAAAAGGCAGTATTAAACATATCCGTGTTTTACCTACCATATTGCACTTTATCAATTAATGCATTTTTTCAGTACTTTAAATTTTAAAATTTACAATTGAGTTTCATGACTAAAACCATTGCGCATCTAATGAACGTGATGACAAGTCTATAACAGTACTTGAGTATCGTTACAGCTAGGTTGATGAAATTTCATATATAAGTATTTTATCAAAATCGTAGATCCGTATCAACTTTTGAGCGATTTCCAATAACCGGAAGTGGTACTTTTTTTACTTTGAATTTTTCAAAAGCCTATAAATTGAGTACTATTTCAGATAGATAAATAAAATTTCACATGTAAGTAAAAGATCTAATTCTCAATCTTGTATCAAATTTTGAGTAATTTCCGTTGACCGGAAGTAGTAATTCACGCTATTTCAAATTTCTCAAAAAAAAAAAAAAACGCATGTAAATTTATAAAGTACTAATAATATTCCGCACTATTATGCATATTTTGTTTGGCGTTCGCTTGGTGCGTAATTCTTTTTTCTACGAGATTCTATTCTATTTTTAAAAGTTTAAGTAATTAAAAATCATGTCAATATTCCGAGTTGCCATCCCACGTATTGTTATATTCGAGAAAGTTCAGGGGAGATCACCCCCGGTTTATTATTGTTGGTTAAGTATATCATTTAACATTCACAGGTTCAAAATCTTTCTGGTGGTGAGTTGCAGCGTGTGGCCTTGACCTTGTGTCTTGGAAAGCCTGCTGATATTTATCTTATTGATGAACCTTCTGCATACTTGGATTCAGAGCAGCGTCTGCACGCAGCTAAAGTGATCAAGAGGTAACTAGTTTTACAGGGCTATACTTAACTTCCTCACCCACATTTAACTTAGTCTTCTTCTCCTGTGAGGGTGTAAACTATTACTAGTGAAAATGTAAATTAATGCCCTTTCTGGGCTAAGTGGAGAAAACCAGAAACATTCATACTCAAGAAGCCAGTGATTAAAGTGCTTTGACATATTTTTATATGAAATATTTTCCCGAATATGAGGCTTCAGTTTAAAGAAAAGCAAGTCTAGTGTAAAGTCTAATAAAAAAATGTTTTTTAATCTACTTTATTCAATTTTCTCTAATTAGATTGCCTTCAATGTCTAGGTTCATTCTTCATGCAAAGAAGACAGCTTTTGTTGTTGAGCACGATTTTATCATGGCAACATATCTGGCTGATCGTGTAGTTATGTTTGAGGGGCAACCATCAATCACAACTAAAGCCAAATCGTAAGTAGTTTTATAAATTTAGCAGTGTGGCTAACTTAATGACCAGTGTTTTTCTTGTCTATTAAGTTATAGTACATAGACATGTCTTTGATGCTGATGACTTATTTTTTCCCCTCGGCATATCGAAATGTGCTGATAACAGTTTTGAAAGCTAATTTTGTCTGAATCAAAGACATTACTAATCTTAATTAAGCATATTGCCTTTTGTTAGCAGAATTGTAAATATTTTGCTAGAAGCATGGGACTCTTAATTTGAAAACGGTCTTCTCCAAGAATAGTTAGTTATAATGAGCTGTTTGATAACACAATATGCTAAATCAATTAGATATGGTTACTGACACAGCCGCCACCCCCCCCCCGAATAGATGCCTGGAAGAAACTGCGGGGCACCCTAGAAGCTCTCCTAAAACTACGCCTTCTGATAATGATTCCTATAGAGAAGGAAAAATAACTGCTCGTTTAAATTTTAAATAAAAATTGACAAACTTTGGTTGGAATAATCCATTTGGCTTTATTTTTGGACATAAAGCTGATTGTTAATTTAATCTGATGAAAGAAAATTGCACACATAGAGAACCACTACACGTTCAAATAAAATAAAAAATTCAACTGAATACTAATTTGCTTTAAAACTAATGAAGAAACATAATGTAAATTTGATTAAAATAATAATTAAATTAAGAAACCAGAAAGCATGAGACGACAGATGTGATGACGACAGACATGTATAATTCACTAAAATAATTAAATCAAGAAACCACGAGACAACAGATGTGATAACGACAGAAATGTATATCTTATTAAATTAATAATTAATTTAAAAAACCATAAAGCATGAAACAACAGTTGTGATGACGACAAAGAATATGACATTAAATATCAGGAACAATAAATTGAGTCCCGAGGCTCTACTTCTTGATTTTAGGACTTTCCACCATTTATCAGTCGTAACTGCATTACTACCATCCAAGGTGTCCACGGAGACGGATTTGAGTTTTGTCTTGTCAATTTCGTGCATGACAATAACCAAACAATTCCCCGCGACAGCAAATATCGCAACTATTATTAGAAGCGAGATGTACACAACTGGAAGACATAGTTAAAGACAAGGTAACAGTCTTGTTACTAAAGTGTGTTGGGTAAATAATAAATCTCACATTAAAAAATAACATTTTAAGAAAAAAAAGGTTTTTTATCATAATTATATTCATTAAACACAGAAAGGTCACAAATGAAAAGGTGCACAAAAAAATAAAAGTAAAAAAAAAAATAAATTTAGTCTGGTGTAACCTTCCTAATGCTATATTGTGATGCGATTAAATTAATTAAACATTTTAAAACGTTAATTAAAAAAACAACTATCCCTCTTCTCCGAAGTATGTGGAGATGAGGGATACAGTGTTAAACAAGCGCGTTTCTTCTTCTTTTTTTCCAATTTGGTGCATAATAAGCAGAGGTAGGGCTTTCTTTGTGATGCGGGAAGGGGAGGGGGAGGAGCGTGTGGACATCATTTGGGTGTGTTTGTTTCGTATATAATTATCTTAACTCTTAAGCCTGGTGCTAAAAATATAAATCTCAAAAATAAAAATGAAAGCATACTAACCCAACAGCGACATCTTTAACGAGTCTTTGGGCAGTTCTTTATTGATAATGCTGAGAAACACAGTGAAGGCGACCAGTATGGTGAAGGCGACAGAGAGTTTGTCCTTCTCATCCGGAGATATTACGAAAGACAGGATACTCAAGATAGCCAACAGCATGATCGGTAGTAGTACCCTGAAGAAGGATAGATAGTCAAAGTACAATGAAGAGCGTTTAGAGCCAGGAAAGAGAGCCGCATACATACATATATGTAGATATACGAATATACATTTATATGAAGACTTATAAAGATATATACATAGTTTTTTATGCAAATGTAAGTCTGTAAGCTAAATACCGTAAACACATCTGTTTATGTACAATGTGTGTGTTATTAATATCATTCAAAGGCTGGATACGAGTATATTAGCCTAGCGCCCGTGTCAATTTTAACAAATAATAAACCCCCAAAGCCACGACGGTTGATTTAAAATTAAAATCCCATGTCTACTTTCCCCATTTAAAAGAAAGCTAACATCATATCACCAAGTAAAATAAAAAAAAAATACGCACGTTATAACAAGATACAAAGGCCTTCTAGTGAGCGTTATCTTGAAGAGCATGTACTTGTAGTATTTTTGGAAGTGGCGTGAATATCTGCACTCGACTCCACTGGACCTAACTTTGAACACCTTGTTGGGAATAAACCTTTCCAAATTGATAGGTTCTGGGCCGGTCGTTATCTGGGAGAAGATTTTAGCTAAGCAGTATATATATATATATATATATATATATATATATATATATATATATATATATATATATATATATATATATATATATATATATATATATATGTATGTGTGTGTGTGTGTGTGTGTCAGCGTCGGCCTACATGGGTTTATAATTTAAATATATGTCACATACGTATGTGTATACGCTATGTGTATATGTATATATATATATATATATATATATATATATATATATATATATATATATATATATATATATATATATATATATATATATACTTGGGGGGCGGGTGACACCACGAAGTGCCGCACCGGGTGACACCCAACCTAGCGACGCCACTGGGCCTGGGCAGCTTTGCGATGCTGTTTCACATCAAGGTAACTGAAGGGCTCATCAAACATAAAGCTGTAACATGGTTTGAGATCGTTATGTTTCCAGTAAGAAAATGGCAGATTTTTCTTCCGTTTGTTTATCGATGCGAAAAACGAACAGCTTTTTACTTGGTAGGTTTTGTTGACGCGGATTTCATGATTTTGTCATAAGTTTAGTCAGATGTTCTGTACTTTTCTAATTTTGTTAATATTTGTTTTTAAACGCTAAGCCCCCCCCCCCAAAAAAAAAAGGTGACATAAAATCTCTTTATTCTAACGTGGCGGAATGTTTAATGCTATAAATGTAACGCCCATAATTTCCATGCTGTTTATAATATAAAGAAGATTAAGAAAATTAAAATAGATATTACCCTTTGTCTCATATCAACGAATGATATAAGTTGATTTACCAACCAATCCGAAGCGAAGCTAACTTACATTTATGGCGGACACGTCATGCATCCACGAAATGACTTTAACAACGCACGTGTTCTCGTCAAATGGATACTTAGATACATCCACCTGGATACATAAACATATTACACTTTGAAAACTTTTCACATTCAGCTTTTAATTATATAATTAGCATTTATCAGCCAATTTGATTAATAAAAATAATAATTATGAAACTATTTTCAACACACTTTAAAAAGCTACTATACAGGAACGGTATCCCAAAAGTTAGTAATCCACCGCCGGAAATTTCACGCAAATTAGTCGTTCAGTGTATTCTACACCGCCACAATAACAGATAATATGCCTAATATTTTTTACTAAAAATAGAAATATATAGATAGAAACATCAAGGCTGATGCAGACCCCCCCCCCTCCCTCCAAACTTGGCACAATGAGTAGACCCGGTTTGTATATGTATATATTATACTGAAAGATATACATACAGCACAAGACACTTCAAGATTTATGGGCGGCTCCCAAAGCACTCTGCCCTTATGGTTGATAGCTACATTTATATTACTTTCCCCAAGGTAAGAATCGTGGATGCTGTAAGAAAAAAAATGAGCATCAGTGGGCAGGTTATAGATGGTGTCTTAAAGGAGTGAGAAAATGTGCACGGGGCGGGTTTTTAAATAAATAAATATACAGTTATAAATATGATTTTGTTGTTGGTAGATTTTCTACATACTTGCCAGAAAATAGCACCATTAAAAATTTCGTTTTTGAATTTATTGAGTTTTGATGTCAGTTTTAGTGCAGTCATATTTCACGCAAATATCTTTTACGCAGCTTCTTAAAACTTATTATCCAGTAAAAGCTGCTGTTGATCTCGATCTCCGTCTCTTTACTTCATTCATCAAAAATAAATTCTGTTTCTGCTTGTCCCCAAAACGATTTTACACTTACCTAGAATTAAACTTTCTATCGAATAAAGTTTCAAGTCCATACAAACAACTACTTTAAATAATTAGCTGCTAGAGTAAAAAATGTTTTTACTTATTGTATGTGGATTGCAATATCAAGCTCCTATACATTAAATTTAGCTTACTTATTGTAGATGGTAATATCAGGTTTCCACACTTGACGTTGAGGCGCAATGATGTCTTGGATTCCGCCATACTTTGATGAATTCCAAACCAACAATTCATCTTTCCATTGCTTGTAAATATTCATAGTATGAAATATATTATATTACTATGTGGTTACGTAAAAATAATTTCAAGCTTTTATGTACTAATGCACTAAAAAGTAGAAAATAAATTATAGATTACTATTTAAATAACTATAAAGAAAAGCGTGGTTCACTTTAGTATCTATTGGATACTTTTACTACTAGTTATTTAAATAGTAATCTATAATTATTTTCTACATAAAAGCTTGTTATTAAAACGTTTTTTAAGAATTTTTTTAGTACTTTTCATGTTTTTATTTACAACTAGACTACCCGTTATCTAGTTAGATAACTGTGGGTTTCGGGGGTCATCCATAAATGACATCACGTCTGCCACTAATCATCACAAAATAACCAGACCCCACATTCAAAAAGGCATCACATCGCAGACGATTTTGTCTTTTAAAAACACTGACTTCGTCTGAGCATGGGTCTGACAACATAATCTTTTCATATGCTGAGGTCACAAAAACAGGTAAACTCTACTTCACCTGCCCAGTGTCCTCCCAACTCAATCATGTTTTTATCTATGAAAACACAGATTTTGGCTGAGCGTGGGTCTGACCACACTATCTCTTCATATGCTGTCGTCACAGGTGAATTTTACACCTACCCAACACTACTTCCCCTGCCCAGTGTTCCGCCAAGTCTCAGACAACATGTTTTATCTTTAAAAAAAAGATTCCGGCCAAGCATGGCTCTGACGACACTATCCACGTTATATACTGAGGACAAAGAAACAGGTGAACTCTACTTCACCTGCCATGTATCCCGCTAAGTTCCAATAGGCAAAGGCAACATTATCATTCACAATTAAAAAAAAAAAACAAAAAAAAAAAAAAACAACACTGGCATGTCTAGAACACATGTCACCCACATGGTAACCTATTGTGCTAACTCCTTAGCTATCTAGGTTCGTACTCTCGAGAAGTTAATAACTTATATATTTTACTTCTAAGCGACGTAACAATCTACGCGAATTAGCCCTAGAAATAGATCTAGAATTATTTCAAATTAAATGTATTGTATAATAAAATAAAAAGAAGTGTTAAAACATTGATAACAGTGTTGAAACGTAATAAAAATAGCAAACGGACGTATTGTTAAAGTTATAGCCGACAGAAAATTAGTTTAAGAACGCGTTAAACATCTGAATCAGCAACTAAATCTTTGATTGGAGTCGCCATTTATTGTACTAAAAAGTAAACACATCATGTGACGTCACTATTCCCACAAAGTTAAGTCAATGTTTTAAAATTTTTAAATTAATGTGGTTAATCTACCTATGAATAAATCAATAAATTAATTAACGTCTTTAAATAAATTTGTGATTAACAGTCTGTCTGAAAACAAAAATTGTTCTCTACCTACATACAATTTTACAGTTCTCCATATAGCGTAGATCCTCTACAGTAGTCAATCAGACAAACAAATAAATATTCAAACATGTAAACAAAGTTGAGTTTTAGTAGTGTAGAGATAGTTAGAGTTACATGACTAAAAACTATTGCGCGCCTATTGAACGTGATGGCGCAGCTATTGAACGTGATGACGCGTGTGGTGTGGTTGGATAGACATGACTACTAATTCGGTCCTAATTTTAATTAATTCATAAAAAATTAATTAGGCATCCAATTATGTCAAATTTAATTTCAGATTGCATTGTCTTCATGTCTTGACCAACGTGCCAACTGTGAACAGTATCGGTCAAGTAGAAGTGTCCGAATTTTCACTCCGGCGTTTCGATCTAGACTGACGACTTACGACAGACTGACGACTGACGACAGAGGAAGTGAGTTAAATAAAAGCTTGTAAAAAAGTTTGTGGTTGGTAAAAGACAATCCTAGCAAAATGATATATTTAATGAATACGGGCCGGTGTGTTCACAACATACATTCCTACAATACTGCGCACAAACACACATACACACATACAAACAACTGATATACATATGCAAGTTAAAAACTATCATCTAAATTATTTACTTACAAAAGACATAAAACCGCTGAATTTTAACACCTGTTTCTTGATATCCTGTGAGAAAAACAAATGATCTCAAGGACAAAAGATATCAGAAGTAAAGCGGTAATGATGAATGATCTCTCCTAAACTTTCATGTATATTCATTATTTTGAATAATATGCAGAAGATGGTCGAGTTGGTAAAGCTCATGTTTGCTGAACCGAAAAGTCTCGAGTTTAAACCCTCGGTTATATAAGCCCGGTCAGTAAGAAAAGCATTCAACGGCCTACAAGCGCTTAACAAATTGACACATAATACTTCCAGCAAAATTTAAGAACAAACTAGGTTTTCATATTTGTTTTATTTTCACTTTTTAGTAATTCGTTCTAAAAGAAGTCGACACTAAATCTATATAGGCTTTGACTGAAATATTTTACTACTTTACAATCTCTAAAAGACAGCTGTGTATCCCATCTTCGAAATCAACAGCAATCGCTAGTGTTTAATCTTGTAATCTAACCTTTTGTCATTGAATATAGTTAGAACCCAAATAGTAGATAGCGATCTCTAAATGATAGTTGTCTGCCCCTTCTACGTGATCGACAATCGGGCAACCAACCGTGACCAAACAACATTTTGCTGAGCTAGTTATCTCCCCGTTGCTACTGAATATAGTAATCTATTGTTAGCATTTATATTATTATCTCCCCTTAATTTCGAAATCGTTTAATTAAATTTTAACGACTAATCCAATGTCTAATTAGAAATAAAAAATATTCATGCATTGCCTTCGAAGAAAAAAGTAACTTGGACGTTTGAACGAAATTTCTGATTAGAAATGGGTCAAAATGGAGTTACTAGATTTGTCACAAACTCAAATAAACCGGGAGTGATCTCCCCTAAACTTTCTCGAATATTCTTATATAACTTGGAATGTAGACATGATTTTTAATTACTTAAACTTTTAAAAAATAGAATAGAATCTCATAGAAAAAAACATTGCGCACCAAACAAACGCCGAAACAAAATGTGCATAATAGTGCGCAATATTATTAGTACTTTAAAAATTTACATTAGTTTTTTGAGAAATCGGAAGTAGCGTAAATTACTACTTCCGGTCAACGGAAATTACTCAAAATTTAACAGAAGGTAGAGAATTAAATCTTTTACTTACATGTGAAATTTCATTTATCTATCTGAAATAGTACTCAAGTTATAGGCTTTTGAAAAATTCAAAGTAGAAAAAGTACCACTTCCGGTTGTCGGAAATCGCTCAAAAGTTGATACGGATCTACGATTTTGATATAATACTTATATATGAAATTTCATCAACCTAGCTGTAACGGTACTCAAGTTATCGTGTTTACACACAGACACACAGACACACACACACGCACAGACATACGGACAAGATTGCAAAATTATGTTTTTCCGTATCAGTGAGGTGTAAAACGTCGCGATTAGTAAAAATCTCGATTTTTTTTTGCACGATTACAATACTTTCTCTATACTACGTATACACGAGAAAGTAAAAACAGACGTTGCGAACTAAACGTAAGCGGGTGAATGGATTATTTGTATTTTTTATTTTGTGTGCGAATCTGCGCGTGAACGTGATTGTGAATATAGGTACTCCCGGCCAGTTAAGATCTATTTAAGGCCAAGTGACCGCTGGGGTCGCTCCTTTTTATGAGAATGCAGATCTTATCTCAGCGGATTTGTTGCGCAGTGGGCGATTTGCGCACCACGTACTTGGATGTTGCATTTACAACTTGGCTGGGTGTTTGGTTATGTTTGTTTGGTTAGATGTTTGTGTAGAATGTTTGCTTAGTACGTTTAATTAGACGTTTGTTTAGTATGTTAAGGTAAGTATGTTATGTTTGTTTGGTTAAATGTTTGTGTAGCATGTTTGCTTAGTACGTTTAATTAGACGTTTGTTTAGTATGTTATGTTTGTTTGGTTAGATGTTTGTGTAGTATGTTTGCTTAGTACGTCTAATTAGACGTTTGTTTAGTATGTTATGTTTGTTTGGTTAGATGTTTGTGTAGTATGTTTGCTTAGTATGTCTAATTAGACGTTTGTTTAGTATGTTTTGTTTGTTTGGTTAGATGTTTGTGTAGAATGTTTGCTTTGTACGTTTAATTAGACGTTTGTTTAGTATGTTTGGTTTGTTTGGTTAGATGTTTGTGTAGTATGTTTGCTTAGTACGTCTAATTAGACGTTTGTTTAGTATGTTATGTTTGTTTGGTTAGATGTTTGTGTAGAATGTTTGTTTAGTACGTTTAATTAGACGTTTGTTTAGTATGTTTTGTTTGTTTGTTTGCTTTGTTGGTTAAGTAGTTCGTGATCGTAGTGTCTGGCACAGGGAGTGACATTCTGAGGGAATGTGGAGGCCTGTGTGAAATGCTTACGTTTCTGCGTTGTTTGTTGGTTTTGTTTAGAGGTTCCTTTGACCAGAATTTGATTGTAGCGTATTTTTTATTGTTTTTTTTAAAAATTGATGGCTCCATTTTTAAAATGTAAATAAAATTCATAAGCTTATTTATTTTTGTGTGTTTCTTATCTAGATTAAGGTAAGGTTTAACCACCGTGGTTATAGCCACGGTTACACTGACAGCCGATTGATGATTAGCCATGAAGGTAGAGTTAGGCATTTACTCTAGCGTTGTAGACAACCCTCCCTTGTCAGGACTTACATAAATAAAAAATTGTAAAAAAGCTTATATATATATATATATATATATATATATATATATATACATATATATATATATATATATATATATATATATACATATATATATATATATATATATATATATATATATATATATATATATATATATATATATATATATATATATATATATGAGATTTGTATGAATGGACGTCTATTAATGGTGAAGGTCAGTTTGACGAAATGTGTTTGAGGTGTGACGTCTATATAGGTTGGATGCCAGTGGCTTGAAATAA